TTAAGAATTTAAAATGCTATCACATAAACTGTCAGGTCATTGATTGTAAAATCCATCCTGATTTCAGGGAGGTTGAAACTCAAGGGAAAAAGGTGTAACTTAGAATGAATGAGTGTCTCACAGAGCTGTTGTGAGGGCGAGATGCACTGGTATACGTGAAGCCTTGGCAAAGTGCCTGGAAGCAGTGAGGGCTCCACACACGTCAGCTATTATTATCCCCTCCGCATTTTCCTTCCTCACCGAGTGCTTTCATGACTTTCCCCAGCCGTTCTTCCAGCCCCACTTCTCCCGAGGGGTTTGGGACTTCTCCAGGCTGGATGTCTTCCCCTGAAGGGTGACTTGCACAAGGACACATGGACAGCACCGAGGTTCCAGGGCTGGAGCTCATGTCCTAGGGAAGGCTCTCTGGCCCAGTGTTCTCAAGTCCAGCAGCTCCTCCATGGAGCGTTGCCAGAAGCCCCCCTTTTCCTCCCCAGCTGTCAGTGTCTGGGCTCCAGTCACGGAGCAACCCGATGCCCCATCCTTCACCCCACAGCCCACCCCACAGCTCCCTCTGTTCCCTGTTTGGAGAGGGAGGGGCACTGGCAGGCCTGGCTGCAGACCGGGCCTTGGGTGTGAGCTTCAGGCTGCTTCATTACTAAAGTGAGGCTGTCAATCCCTCCTCTGGCCCACCAAGAAGGACGGGAGGAGATGGGAATGTTGGGAAAGGCTTCTCAGAGGTGTGCACCTTATAGACAAGTGGGCCCATGGCAGGGTTGCCAGATTCAGCAAATGAAAATACAGGACTCTCAGTCAAATCTGATCTTCAGATGAACCACGAATCACATGGGAGGCACTTACACTAAAAAAGAATTCATTACTTGAAGTGATAATATTTAACGAAGCATCCTGTACTGTATCTGGCAACCCTAACGCTGCCTTTCCCCTCCCCCGCTCACTGACGCCACATTTCAGTTTTCCTGCTCTTTCTGGTATTTAACTCCCAGCCTTTAGAAGTTCTTGAAGTATTTCCTTTCAGTCATTCAGTCAGCACATAACTATTGGTGCCTAATTTATACAGCATTTCCTCATTGCCTGGAGAGTGGAAAGATTCCTGATAACAATAAACCTTTAAGAGAACAGTGCAGGGCAGATTCCACCCAGAAAGGTCATCAGGGATATAATATTCTCTCTTAAAGGAAGTGTGCTAGCCCATTTGCAACAGAATCATCAGGAGACAGTTGCCAAATGCAGGTTCCTGGGCCCCTCTTCTGACCTGGCAAAGAGCCTGGAAATAGTGAGAGCTCAATGTACTAAATAAACCTCTGGAGTGGGACTTGCCTCGGAATCTGCATTTGAATCATACATCCCAGTTGCTTGGAACAGCCCTGGTTTATATGTGCTGTCCCGGGGGAACTGTTAGTAGCGCCCTGTTACTCCCACAAGTATCCTGGATTGGACCATCAGTTATATTTCTCCCCTCAGAGTTGGTGCTACAGAGCCAACAGGACAAGGTGGCTGAGGTGATGAACCAAGACTTCCCATCTTCTGGCGCAGTGGGGTCAGCTCAGAAAAAGCTTTGAAGTTATGACCTGGGCGAGTACCCTCAATGCCCTTGGCCCGAGTCCCGGCCCGCATTGCTGGGGTTGATGATGCCTCCCTCGCAGGGTGGCTAAAGGGACTGGATATGCCACCAGAGGGATGTGTCACAGAGGCTCCACCCACAGCCCACGATACAGTTCAGTGCTGGCCTCCCCATCTCGATTCCAGGCTCTCCGAGCTGAACTCCAGAGGCCCTGTCACCAGGGCCCCCATTTGCGAAGGCGGCACCAGACAGGCTGTGGGAACGAGCTTAACAGCTTTTGTCAAAGTGGCATAATAAAGCCCCCAAGTGTCTGCTCTTTGCAAATGGGAATGGCAGATCAATTGTGGCATAAACAAAATAGCAGGCTTGGTGCAAAGCTGGGGATGGATTTTACGCCTCTGCAGGGTGTGATTGGGGAAGGAGAGGATTTTCAGGGTGGCCGGGTTTGTCTTTTCTCATCCTGAAGCCTCGAGGCCCCTCTCTGGAGCGGCCTGACTCCCTGCAGATTGTCAGAGCGTGGGGGGCTGCTCCTCCATGCTGGGAAGCATCTTTTTAGGCAGCAGCCCAGGCAGGGACCCCACTTCCCTCAGCAAGAAGCCTGACCCCGGGGCCTTTGCAGCCCCCAGAGTTCTGAGTCTATTAGTGGGGAAGGAGGGGACACCATGCCCCCTCCACCTGTCTCCTGAGCTGAGCTGACAGTGTGGCCTGGAGGGAGGCAAAGCGGGCACAGGTGTCAGACCTCAGCAATCGGAGCAGTGAGAGGGACATTTGCATTGAGTGCCTTCTGCGTTGTCAGAGAACCTCGTGACCTGCCTGTCCACTTCTGGGAAGAGAGTGCCACCATTGGTTAAGCATTTGGCCTCATTTTGGGCCTGCAGTCATGACCATGAGGAGACCCCAGGACAAGTCCTGGCCCAGCCTCTCCTCGGGGGCAGAAGGGCAAAGCTGTGCCCTGGCCCAGGGATGAGCTGCTGGCAGCAGAGGGCTGTGCGAAAACTCTGAGAAGGCAGCCCAGAGACTCTATGAGGGCAGAGACTGTGTCTGTCTTGTTTTCCACCATATCCCCAAGCCTAGTTAGTAGGAAGCCTGCCAAACCATGTCACTGTCTGCGGAGGGATGAATGGTGGATATTGGTCTTGCAGCTGCATATCTGGTGGCGCTGTGATGTAGGGGCCCTAGCATAAGGCCACACCTCTATGGGGAAGGAGAAAGAGGGGTAGAGAAACAGGTCTCATTCTGGTTCCATCGTTAGGGACTCCCAGAAGGACATGTGCTCAACAAGAGACCCGACTCCAAAGGGAAGCCTGGGGTGGAATCCAAGAGTCCAGACAAGGGGGAGTTTGCAGGGATCTGAGGATGCTCTGGGAGAAGGAAGAGATGACCTTTGACTCGGAGGGTGGGTCAGGCAGGGGCAGTCCTGTGGGGACTCCAAGGGGCAGATGAGAACCCTGCTTGTGAGCAACCAGCAAGCCTGTTAGACAGAAACAGTGGTGCCCTCAGCGTCTGCTCCTCCTGCTGTGCCCAAGCCCTGGGTCAAGTCTGGTTTGAATGGCCCCGCCTGTCCCAGCTGTGCCAAGCCACAGCTGATGTGTCCACCTTAGTGGGAACATTCAAGTGGGAGCAGTGGCCCCTCTCGCCAGCAACAGGCTCTGGGAAGAGAACCACAAGAGGAGAGAGGACTCTTGGGGACAGGAGTCATGACAGCCTCAGCCCTGGAGGACTACAGTTTGGTTTTCTAAGAGCAATGGAGGCTTTTGTGGTGCTCTTGGGAGACAGTCCTGGTCACATGGCTAATTTGGTCTTTCACTCTCTTGTGGCCAAATTCTGAATCTAGGGATATAATCCATCTTCCTCAATGTGGGTTCACAATCATAAAATTTTCTCCTAACTTGAGCCACTAGCATAAGATCAAGACCATGGTCAGGTAAGTGGGCACTTCTTCCAGGGAATCTGGAGACTGATTAGCACACAGGTTTAAGGAATTACTCTGAAAAAAATATTTTCTCAGGCCCTTTTAAGGAAATAGTAAGCCCAGAGAGACAAAACTCTACTTCCTTCTTCCCAGGGCTGCCCCACCCCACTAGCAGTGCACAGGTAGCCCTCTTGACATTGGGTCCAAATGAAAGAGGGAAGCCCCTGACCTTTTGCTGCAGAGGTGTTGAAAGGTGCTATAGTGCTACTCAGACAGATGATTCGCTTTCAACGCATACTCCAAGCAGCAGTGAGTCTTCCTACCAAGAGATTAACCCCTCTCTTAAAACCAGAGTCAGGCTGCCATGAGTGCCACAAAGGAACTGAAGCCAGCAGCAGGCTGCGGGCTCCAGTGGGTGGGGCAGAGCTCCCACTCTGTGCTGCGCTGCGTGGCATGGGCTGAGCCTGCTGGTGGGAAGCCAGGCCTTCTGCAGAAATCAATTGATGAAGAATCTCCTTTAAAGACTGTGCTTTGAGTAAGTGGGTGAATTAAGACTTAATTATAAGAGTTCGAAGCAATAAGCAGCTGCCAGGCACAGAGCCGAGCTGCCAGGACAGAAGCAGCACAGGACCGCGATGGACCAAAACCTTTCCATTCGCAGGTGAGAGCAGGGATGATGGCTCCTTGGGTGAGAAGAAGCTGACACTCAACAGCAAAACATGTTTACTCTCTGAAGACTGTGGACTCACTCTCAAACAATCCTTTTGTCGGTTTCATAAGCCTCTTTTCAGAGACCATCAAATATAGCTCTCTGGACTAAATACACTCTCCCTGGTCCCCAGAAATTGAAATTCCATAAAAATGAAACCTTTAATGGAATTCTATCCTGATAAGGCCGAGGCGTGCCACTGGTTACATTAAAAAACCGATTTGAGGAATCAGAGAGCAGCTGACACTTGCTTTGTAGGCATCTCCGTGGTTTGCACTGACACGGTGGTTTCTGTTTTGTGTCCTGATCAGTCCTTCCCTAGTGACCATCTTGCCCCACCCATTTTTAAAAGGTTTTGTTTATTTTTAGAGAGAGGGGAAGGAAGGTGAAAGAGAGGGAGAGAAACATCAATGTGCGAGAGATACATGGACTGGTTGCCTCTCGCAGGCCCCCAACTAGGGACCCAGATGCAACCAATGCACGTGCCGCCACTGGGAATTGAACTAGCAACGTCTTGGTTCCTAGGCTGGCACTCAGCCCACTGAGCTACACCAGCCAGGGCTTGGCCTACCCGTTTTAACTTAAGATCCCCAACAGGAGGGGCCATGTCTCCTACAACAGTCTATGGGCTGACAAAATGAGGAATAATGTCGAATGCCACTAAGGGAGAGAAGTGTCTACATACTAACTCCTCTCCACCTGAGCGATGCCACCTAAAGTAGAAGCCATGTCATCACCTGCATAATCAGAGCACTCACCCAGTAAGGACCTCCTGTCCAACCAGGACCTCGCTAACCCTTGTCCTGTCTCTGCAGGTTTCGGCATGACCACACCCGCCACTGTAGGTGGGAAGGCTTTCCTCATAGCCTACGGGCTGTTCGGCTGCGCCGGGACCATCTTGTTTTTCAACCTGTTCCTGGAGCGCATCATCTCGTTGCTGGCCTTCATCATGCGCACCTGCCGGGAGCGTCAGCTGCGCCGCAGTGGCCTGCTGCCCGCCACCTTCCGCCACGGCTCGGCGCTCTCGGAGGCCGACTGCCTGGCAGGCTGGAAGCCCTCAGTGTACCACGTGTTGCTGATTCTGGGCCTGTTTGCTGTGCTGCTGTCGTGCTGCGCCTCGGCCATGTACACCAGCGTGGAGGGCTGGGACTACATGGACTCACTGTACTTCTGCTTTGTCACCTTCAGCACCATCGGCTTCGGGGACCTGGTGAGCAGCCAGCACGCCGCCTACAGGAACCAGGGACTCTACCGCCTGGGAAACTTCCTCTTCATCCTGCTCGGCGTGTGCTGCATCTATTCTCTCTTCAATGTTATCTCCATCCTCATCAAGCAGGTGCTCAACTGGATGCTGCGAAAGCTGAGCTGTCGCTGCTGCGCCCGCTGCTGCCCCGCACCCGGCGCACCCCTGGCACGGCGCAACGCCATCACCCCCGGCTCCCGGCTGCGCCGCCGCCTGGCTGCGCTCGGCGTAGACCCCGCGGCCGGCGACAGCGACGCCGAGGGCCGCCGCCTGTCAGGCGAGCTCATCTCCATGCGCGACCTCACCGCCTCCAACAAGGTGTCGCTGGCGCTGCTGCAGAAGCAGCTGTCCGAGACGGCCAACGGCTACCCGCGCAGCGTGTGCGTCAACACGCGCCAGAACGGCTTCTCGGGCGGCGTGGGTGCGCTGGGCATTATGAACAACCGCCTGGCCGAGACCAGCGCCTCCAGGTAGACTGCCCGCCTGCCTGCCCTTCTTGCTGCGCCAGGGACCCTCGCCAGGCTGGCGTACTGCCAGGCGTGGCTTGCTTTTCTTCTCTCAGACGCTGGCGCTTTCTTAATCTTTATCCAATAAAATGAAACCAAAAAAAATTTTTTTAAAGAAATACTATTTGGCCAGGCCTGATGTTATCAGTGGCAGGTTTTGGGGGAACCTATTTTACTTGTGGGTCCCCTCTTGGAGAACCGTGACCCCAAGTAGATTCTCCTCCAGGGAGAGAAAAAGTGGCACCCAATCCCTCACCCGGTGCATACCGCAGCGAGGAGAGTGCCAGCCCTAGGTTTTGCAGACTGGCATGAAACCCGGTCCCCATGCACATAAGCAGCCGGCAACCCCAAAACATATGGTGCAACTTTACATGGCTCTGAATTACCTCCGCAGCATTTAGAATCCTGGCCCAGCCTAGCAGCTTCCTTCTGGTCGTCAGAAGTGATATAGTCACAGTTTTGACAGGTGGGGGTGGGGAGAGCCATCTGTTACCTCCTGATGTATATATATAGCACAGCCGCTACACACAGAATGGTGTAGTATTACGCAATGAGATGAAACACAGAACCAACTTGCGGACTGCGGCGTTTCCCCGAGATTTGGAAATTGCAGTGGTAAGGGGCTTAGCTGGCCTTTCTCAGCCTGTGGTTCACTTAGCGCAGTGCACATTCAACTACTGTGGATGAAGGAAACCCAGGGTGGCCTGCCTGCCGGGAGGGGAGCTCTGGGCTGCAGGAGCCCTGCTCTGCTTCAGCTGCCTGATCTCAGAGGCTCCCCTTACGTCTCTGAGTCTCCCAACCCTCCTTTCTTTCATGAGCATCATCCATTTTGCTTTGCTAGTATTTTTTTTTCCCTAACTCCCATTGATCAGTTCAACGTTTTTCCCTTTTAGAGAGCCTGATGGTGCAGAGCGCAGCCTCCAGCCCTCCCCTCCTTCTCCAACTCAGGGCTGCGCCAGCTGCACCCTTGAGGCACCAGGGCCCACAGTACCAGGAAGTCAAAGCAGCCGTCCTACAAATGTCAGAGAACTTGACTCCAGAGCCCACAGTGTTTTGAGGGCACATCCCATTCTAAATCTTATTTGGCCCCCACTGGTAATCAGGTGAAGTTGTTTCCTCCACACACGGTGTGTATTGGAGGTGGAGGAAGGCAGGAGGGAGGGAGGGAGCTGGTGGAACAGCAAGATGGGAGCAATTTTAGGATTCAGGTTTTGCTCTGGATGATCCTCAAGCTGGTTCTCCCAGACTCACCCTCTGCCACATGGACCTGGGGGAAGGTCAGATGCCCATCCTTTATCGAAAAGATAAGGATCTTGGGATATGAAGGAACATCACTCTTTCAGCTCATTTTCTCATCTGAAAAGACAACGATTCGAGGACAAATGTGATAGTCTAGTCAGACACACATATATTTATATATATATACACATATGTATCTTCTGACAGGAAGTCTTAGAAAAGCACTGGACAGCTCACACCACCGAAAAGCATCGAAAGCCATGAGATCTCCCTCCCTGGCAGTGAGGGAAGCATATGAGCCTGGAATACACACACACTACTATTAAGAGTCACACTTAAATGTCAGCCTCTTCATTCCCCTTCCAGTTCATGGCAGAAAGAAAAAAAATAAGTTGGGATCTCAGTGACTCTCCAGCTACTTTGGGTAATTTCTAGTTTGTGCTGAAATAGGTTTGAAAACACAAGCCCTAGTTGGGGTGAAGCCAGCGAGGCAGAGTGGCGGGAGAGAGGTCAGGCTGCTTCCCCTGAAGGGAAGGCGTCCTGGGAGCCCCGCCTCCAGAGGATCCACTGGGACTGTCGGGCAGCTCCTGAGCCCCGGCCCGTGTCTCAGTGATGGCTGTGGTCACGCTGAAGGGGCTGCACACTCAGGCACATGCTTTCTAGGGCCGGGTCCTCTCACAGGGCCTAGAAATAAGGTATCAAATGTATCCCTTTAAAAGAGTGAAAGATTAAAAGGCATCCAATTAGAGATGTCACCTAGGCAATGAGAAATAACTTGGGGATCTGAGCCATCCAGATGGAGAGGTAGAGATCCCCATGACAGAGGCACCTGAACCATGAGGTCTCAATAGCAGGCCAAACAGCAGCCCACCTGGAAGCAGTGAGCCCCCAAGACAGCACAGGGGGCTTATGACCCAGCTGTCAAGGCTCTTTGAGCTAGATGGGCCAAAGAGGTGGCCAGGTGATCCCGCTGACCAGCACATAGGATTACCCAGAATCCCATCCCCACAGGAGGAACCAGGACCTGCCTCCCCAGAAGAAAAATCTCAAAACCTTTGTCAGTGTTCTTTGTCAGCAGTTCTTCCTAAAGTCTATCCTAAAGTGCTTGGGCCTCGGCCTTAGCTGCTGTCGCTCCTTTTCCTTTGCTCCTTTGCCTTTGGAAGGAGGAGATTACGGGCAGGTTGGGCAAGCTTCTGAAGGAAACAGAGTTGTGGTTTGAGGAGGCAGGGAAGGGACCGTTCCCTCTCAGCAACCTCCCAGAGAAAGACCACCCTCCAACATACAATGGTAGCTCAGGTAGCTCAGCGGCAGGTGTGTATTTCTGTCCAAGTTCTCCTGGTCCCTCCCCCATCACTGTCCATCACCTCAGGCCAAAGGGCTCAGTGCCCCAGATGCCAGGGAATGCTCCTGGGGAAAGCCAGGCTCCCAAGTTTGAGGGGATTCATGAAGCCTAGACCCACACCTAAAGGGCTTGTTTGACACCCTGCTCGAGGGTGGGCATCGAGAACCAGAACTCCTTAACGAGCAGGGGTGGGGTCTTCCTATCATTTCAGGAACAGCGGCATTGCTAAGGGCCCCCTTCTGTGGTGCAGATCCTTCAGAACCTCAGGCTAAGAAAGGGCTCCATTTTCTTAGACGCTGTGGCCTCGCCCGCCAGGTGGGGGTCTCCAGTGTGACCTGCAGCTTGCTCACTGCAGTCTACAACTCCCCAGGTGCCAGGCATTGCTTCCTAAACTTAGGCCCACACAAACTTATAACTCACCCCTCCAGTGCTGGGGCCGTGGGGCAGAGATGGCACGGGCTTTTATTAAATAGTTATATATATAACTATTTTATTTTATTTATATTTTTAATTTTTTTAATTTTTTTATTTTGTTTATTTTATTTTGGACACAGGCTTTTAAGAAGCCCTTGCCACCCAGCTGTGGCCATGCAGAGGCTGGGGTCTTGGTGAATAGCCAGGCCTTCTCAGAGCTGAGCAGGCAAGTAGAGAAGCCACCTATGGGGTCCTTGCTTGCTAATAAGGCCCGGTGAGGTCCTGACTCGGCCCCTATATCCTCTGACTGAAGCCAGAGCCTCCTGGCCTGGTAAGGGAGGCAGAAGTCTCAGGCAGTCTTGGGCACTCAGCTTGTGGAAAATGCCTGATGGGCCTGAGCATCACACATCACAGCAAAAACACACACTCATTGGCATTACGAAGAGCGGCTAGTCCCATTCCCCAAGGAGAAATTCTAGTCTGGGCCACTGTAAGAAGAGAGTTTCCATTTTTAACTCACTGGAGATCTACTAGAGCCTGGAAAATTCTGCTCTGCCTTGGGGGAATTTTATGTACACTTTGCATGATGTTTTACACAGAAGCCTGTGTCCAAAGCCAAGTGAAGCCCCCACAAAGGGCTAGTTTACCCGGGCTCCCGTGCCCCTCAGTGAGGCTTGCTAGCAGAGGCCCTCTCCCTGTGTGCTTTGGGGTGAGGAGTAACAGATCTCTCAGGGCCAAATGAGAAGCTTCTGGGGACCCAAGGCAGATGGCAGCCCACAGAGGCAGGGACTGGAGGGGCTGTGGGTCAGGTGGTTTCATCTTACTGTAACTTTTTACATTCTTAACAAACAAAAAGCACAATTCCACATGCACACCGTCTGGAAAGCACATCCAGCAGATCGCTTAGGGCACTTCTGAGTCCAGAAGAGGAGCTGGGGCTTCTTTGTTGCAGTGGTTATATGTAACAGGCGCGCTCCATGCCATGGGGTGGGAAGGGACGGAGGGCTGCTGAAACCACTCCCGACCCCAGGACGGCGCATCAGCATGGACTCGGGGCCTGGACTCTTGCCCCTGGAGCAGCTCTGGCGCCTTCAGGTGCGTGCAGCGTCACAGCTCCATCGCAGCCCCTTTGCAGCCCCGCACCCAGCCGGTGTCATTGTGCATTGAGAAGTGATGAGATTTCTGCACTAACCTGACCCAAGCCCCGTGTCCCCTATCTTCTAGCCTCCTCCCTCCTTCCCCTCCCTAGGAAGTTCTCCCTGGCTTTACAAATTATTTTCTATGCCAAATGTTCTCTCAGGAGGGGTGGGTAGAGCATGCGGGGCAAGCCTGCAGGGTTTCTTAAATAATACATTTATTTTTCTGAGCAGCACTCCAAGAGAGGACTTGAAGGGTGTCTGAATTAACCATGAATAAAATGCAGCCTGCCACCCCTTGAGCTGTTTGCTTTCTGTCTGTCAGAGCCACCTGCCTCCCCATCTCCTGGCTCAAACCTCATCTCAGGGGGCCCCAAGGGACTTCAGCTTGGAGGACTGGGCTTAAGTGGCAGCTCCCAGAGGGGTTGTTCTGCAAAACAACAGTGACATCCATAGGAGTTGTGGGGGGTGGTGAGGGGGAGGGCTCCAAGGAAGCTCACAGGCAGCCTGGCCAGACTAGGCCAAGGCCAGTTTCTGATAGCCAGGGCCTGAAAGAAGGCAGAAGGGTCCAGGAAACTGGAGCCGGGGTGGTTGGGAGATGGGTCCCCACTGTGGCCCTGGTTTCCAGCCCTGGCCATGCACTAGCCTTTCCAAAGACGGCTTTAAAGACACTGGTGCCCAGGCCCCCAGCCCCACCCTCCACCCCTGAGATTCTAATTTCAGTGATCTAAGGGGAGTGAAGGAGGGCACTGGCATATTTTGGAAACTGTTAAGGTGATTCTAACCGGCAACCAAGGTCTTGAACCTAGACCCTAAACACAAAGCACTCACACTGCCGTGTGGGAAGGGCACCCATTCAGAAGCTGGGAGGTCTGAATTCTAGTCCCGTGTCTGGCAGTCACTCTGTTTGCTCAGATCCTCAGTTTCCCCATCTCTAAAATGGGATAATGATATTGCCCCCCCACACACACACCTCTCAGGAGTCTTGTGAAAAGTAGTCGTGAGGCTTGAGGCTGGGAACTGAAAAGTGTAAAATGCTCCATAAATGCAGTGTCACCATTATAAGAGGCATTTCATAGACTAAGGGACCAGGCAGCCCCCATCACTTCTGGTGGGGACCCTTCCTGCAGGGCCAGCTGGGGAAGAAGGCCCCACCCAGATGATTACTGCTGTCCACAACGCCTTTGCAAGCCTCTCCTTTTTGACACCACCTTAATCGCCATTGTAATAGTGCAAGCCCCACTGAGGCTGCCCTAAGTCATCCTTTTCCTTCAGGTTGCCCTAGAGATGAGCAGTAATTGGCAGGTCACTCAAATCCTGACCCCACCCACCTCAATCTGCAAAGTCACTCTCTAGCCTCCCCCAACCCAAAAGATTTCCTTCAGCTGCAGCGACATCCACTCTGGTCTTATGGTCTTTTTAGTCTTTTTAATGTTGGTCAAAGCTATTAAATTGATTTCACGACCTGCCTACGAATCACCCCCAGCAATCTGAAAAACACTGGCCTACAGTCTTTCCGGAAAGAGAGCTTCCCATTTTCCTTCTTCCGCTAAGACTCATTAGCTGGCTGCGGCCGCGGAGGG